TACGGTTTAGGCTTAACCTATATTAAATGTTCAGTCAATCATATTATTGGGTGTTGTCTGATCATGGATTACAGACGGACTCGACTCTTCATGACACAGAGAGCATAACGGGACTGAGATACAGACTCAAAGCCTAGAAGAAAACTGTTCTTGACCTGGGTAGCTACTATGACACGTCTAGCTTGTTTACATGTGCACCAGAGACACGGTTATTGTGAGAAATCCATGCTCACGTTTACATGCTCTGTGTTAACAGTTACTATTACAGTTTCTCCAGTTCAGGAGTCTCCTGATTCCTTCAAGGGCAGATGGTCACTCACTTCTGGACAGTGGCGGCTCGTCGGGGGAGGCACAGCTTCCCCATAATTTTGAGGTGAAAACGGGAGGACGACGATTTAATGTTAATAAAATTCACAATTAATTTCAGTTCATGTCTCAGAATGTGTATTTTTTGTTTGTAATTTCACAGTTGTAATACCATAACGTGAAAGCGCCGCTTTTCTATCACGAATGTGCCGAATCTGCTGATGTAATTACACCTGCTAATGATAGAGAAGGGGAGGGGGAGGCCGGGGCAGAGCTGAGCTCTCGTGCCTCCGTTGGTAACAAAAATTAGCCAATCGGCATCAAGTGTTCACTTTCAGCGCTGAGGAGTGTGATTGGTTAGCTGTCCCAGTGCGTTGTGATTGGCGAACAGCTTAGACGGTGTTTCAGTACTGCCACGCCCCCTTGCTCAGTCTTTCAACAAAAGCTTTTGGTGAATCCGGCACTGTCCTCCCTCATGTTGTGGAAGCTGCGCTCAGTAAAATGCGCAGCACACAATAGCAAATTGGGGTTATAATGCTCAGGAACAGAGTTAAAAAATAAATTGCAACCACTGTTTCCTGACATCATCCGCTTTCGGAAGCCCAAACAAAGACGTTTGGGCACGGAGGTGAAAAAAACAGCGTTTCAGGCGGTCGCGCATCAGACGAGAAGCGCAGCGTCGCGCCACGTATTTAAAATCCAAATACATTATTTTCTATGAGTGTAGCAAACCGGCGGCGACTGTCCGCGGCGCCCAGCTACGTCGTGTTGTACTTGTAAGAATTGTCCTAGACATGCCGAAAATTTGAGGCTACAGCACAGCAGCTCTTCTTCTTGGTTTTCTCTGATGCACTAACTCTGCAGCAGCACTTCTTCGTCGTCGTCTCGTCTGATGCACTCACTCAACCAAGCGCTCTAACCACAACCTCGCCCCTCCCCACCCCCCAACCATTCACATTTCTGTAGGCGGGAATTATTTGTAATGATATTCCAATGAGCCGCTTTCCCCGGAAAACAAACGCTGTAGTCCAAACGAGCCGTTCGTTGTAGTTCTTGAAAATTGATTTAAAAAAAATGAAATATCCCCCTTTGGAGTGGACTTTATTATTTATAACTTTCGAGATTTTTTTTATGCCCAAACATACACACTGACTAAAATTAAAAAAGTGAAAAAGCATAATAGGACCCCTTTAATACGTGTCCCTCAGTTTGAGAACCATTGCTGTTCAGCACAACCTTAAATTGGCAAATGAGATAATCACTATCTAAAATCAAAGAGTTTGGGCAGAGATGAGTCTCACTGATCGTCGGGCAGCGCTCGCACTCCCTCCACGTTGACCGAAAGAGTCGGATTTCCTCCCAGAACCTTGTGCATCGATTCAACCAGCTGCTGCTGCTGAGAGCGAACGTCAGCTTCCTTCTTATTGAGAGCAAGAGCCACTAAACCATCCTCATCCTTCACATCAGGAACACAGCTGTAGCCCACCGCCTGAGAGAGAGAGAGAGAGAGACAGAGAGAGAGAGTGAGACAGAGAGAGAGAGTGAGACAGAGAGAGAGAGACAGAGACAGAGACAGAGACAGAGAGAGAGAGAGACAGAGACAGAGACAGAGAGAGAGAGAGAGAGAGAGAGAGAGAGAGCGCGCGAGCGAGCGAGATGGATAGCAGGGTTATGAGAGAATCAACAGAACCAAACACTTTTTGCAATCATCAATATATAAAACAAATATATATATATATATATGTATGTGAGTGCGTGTATGTGTATATAAGTGTGTGTGTGAGCTGCGGCACCCGGGGGGCAGTTGGGGGTTCGGGGCTTGCTCAAGGGCACCTCAGTCGTGGTATTGAAGGTGGGAGAGAGCGCTGTACATTCACTCCCCCCACCTACAATCCCTGCCGGTACGGTTTATTTCTGTTTCACACACACACACACACACACACACACACACACACACACACACACACACACACAAGAATTCGTCTTGTGTCAGAAGCTTCCAGTACAGCCTACAGTCATAGTGCAGACATAAATATAATTATGGAAATAAAACACTAATAATAATAATAAAGAGTAATAATAAAATATTCATTCAGCCCGTCTGATGTTTTTGTTTGGTGCAGTTGCTTCATGTTGCATATATTTTTGTTTGTTGGCTTGTTCAAGGTTAGTTTGGCCAGTAACAGAGCAAAATAAACATTTAAAAAAATTTAAAATAGCGAGCGAGCGTGTGAGTGAGCGAGTGTGTGAGCGAGCGTGTGAGCGAGCATGTGAGCGAGCGAGCGTGTGAGCGAGCGTGTGAGTGAGTGAGCAAGCGAGTGAGCGAGCGTGTGAGTGAGCGAGCGAGTGTATGATTGAGCGTGTGAGCGAGTGAGCGTGTGAGCGAGCGAGCGTGCGTGTGAGCGAGCGTGCGTGTGAGCGAGCGTGTGAGTGTGTGAGTGAGCGAGCGTGTGAGCGAGTGAGTGAGCGAGCGTGTGAGTGAGCGTGGGAGCGAGCGAGCGAGCGTGAGTGAGCGAGCGTGAGTGAGCGTGTGAGTGAGCGAGCGTGGGAGCGAGCGTGTGAGTGAGCGAGCGAGCGAGCGCGCGAGCGTGCGAGCGAGCGTGTGAGCGAGCGTGTGAGTGAGCGAGCGAGCGTGTGAGTGTGCGAGCGAGCGTGTGAGTGAGCGAGCGAATGAGCGAGTGTGTGAGTGTGTGCGAGAGCGTGTGAGTGAGCGAGTGAAAAAATTGAAAATAGCGAGCGAGCGTGAGTGAGTGAGGGTGCGAGTGTGTGAGTGAGGGTGCGAGCGTGTGAGTGAGGGTGCGAGCGTGTGAGCGAGCGAGTGTATGAGTGAGCGTGTGAGCGAGCGAGCGAGCGTGTGAGCGAGCGTGTGAGTGAGCGAGCGAGCGTGTGAGTGAGCGAGCGAGCGTGTGAGTGAGCGAGCGAGCGTGTGAGTGAGCGAGCGAGCGTGTGAGTGAGCGAGCGAATGAGCGAGTGTGTGAGTGTGTGCGAGAGCGTGTGAGCGAGCGAGTGTGTGAGCGTGTGCGAGAGTGTGTGAGTGAGTGTGTGAGTGAGTGTGTGAGTGAGCGTGTGAGTGAGCGTGTGCGAGAGCGTGTGAGTGAGTGAGCGTGTGTGAGTGAGTGTGTGAGTGAGTGAGCGAGTGAGCGTGTGTGAGTGAGTGAGTGAGTGAGTGAGTGAGTGAGCGTGTGTGAGTGAGTGAGTGAGTGAGTGAGTGAGCGAGTGAGCGTGTGTGAGTGTGTGAGTGAGTGAGCTCATGGTCAGACCTTGAAGCGGCAGAAGGGGTTCTCCTGGCTGAACTCCACCGGCGGTGTGCTGCTGCTGTAGTAACCCTTCCCTACTCCCCAGAAGGCCTGCAGCTGGTTCCATCGGGCCAGAATGGAGTCGCGCTCGTCGTTGAGGACCGACGGAGCAGAGAGAGCGCTGGCTGTGTTAAAGAGCTGACTGGACTGAGACGCCTGCTGGTTAAACATGCCTCCTACAAAACACACACACACCTGGCTCATTCAGTGTTTGTTTCTGAACATGCTGCGTTTTCTCTCTTAGTTCGGTTCGTCTAGTGAGAGATATAGATACATATACACACATATACATACATATATATATATATAAACACACACACACAGACACACACTGCAAACACACTTGGATCTGCACTAGAACAACCGGTCTGAGATCGTCTGAATCAGGTGTTTTAGGCCCAACTGAAAATGAACTTCTTATTCTCATAATGGTAAATGTGTTACATAAATCCATAAGAAGAAAATAGTGCCTGTTTCAGTGTGATGCGGTCGCTTGCCGGTCTCACCTTGTTGGTTCTGAGCGGGCTGGATCCCACCGAATCCTCCGAAGCCCAGTCCAGTGCTGCCCAGAGCACCGCCGAAGCCCATCCCCGCCGGTGCGCTGGAGCCCAGACCGGACGAGAAGCCGAAGCCCTTATTCTGAGTGTTTCCAAAGAGACTGGCACCTGCAGAGAGTCAAACACTTCCCGTCAGACGCGCTCACACAAACACAGCTTAGCTCAGACCGGATCAAAGCTCTACCTGTGTTTGACGGCGTGGAGAAATTGAAGTTGGTGCCGGCGCCGGCGGAGGAGGTGGAGCCGAACCCCCCGAACGCACCTGCAGCACACACACACACACACACACACACATGAGAGGAAGATAGGACAGACGTGGACATGAGCTGATGGACAGAGCGGGACTAAACACACGAATGAGCACGTGATGTGAGCTGATCATGAGTGACGTGACCTCCGACCTCTCAGACTACCTGCTCCACTGAGGCTACTGCCAAAACTGAACACAGGGGCCGTGGGGCCCAGACCAAACCCCCCAAAACTAACGGGCGCGACGGGGCCACTGCTCGGGGCCAGAGAGCCGAATCCTGACACGCAGGAGACACACACACAAACGGGCAAGAGTTAGAAACACCTGCAGTGTGT